AGAGGGCGAATGCCACCCTTGGTTGCATAGCCAGAAGTGTGGCTTCTAGATCAAGAGAGGTATTACTGCCACTCTACATGACTCTAGTGCACCCGCAACAGGAGTATTGTGCTCAGTTTTGGGCCCCTCATTACAGAAAGGATATAGCCAGGTTAGAGTCAGTGCAGTGTAGGGCCACAAGGTTGGTGGCCGGTTTGCAGGGGATGGGGTATGAGGCGAGACTGAGGGAACTGGGTCTCTTCAGCCTGGAGAAGAGGAGACTCAGAGGGGATATGTTGGCGACATACAGGTATGTGAGGGGATGTCATGCGGAGATGGGTGTGTTTCTGTTCTCCCCTGCAGAGGAAGGCTGGATGTGCTCCAACGGAGCAAAGCTCAGGGAACCAAGGTTCCATTTAGATGCCAGGAAGCACTTCCTGACAGGACCCTGAGGGTGTGGAACGGGTTTCCACGGGAGGTGGTTGAGGCCCCATCGGTGAGGGTGTTCAAAGATAGGCTGGACATGCACTTGGTGGGCATGTTGTGTGCGGAGCCGGCTGGAGCCGGGGGTCATACTAGATGGCCTGGGATGCCCCTTCTGGCTTGCTCTGTTTCTGTGTTTCTATGTATTTTATTTCACATTATCTGCTGTTACCATCTTGAGAGGATTGGCTGTTGGGCATTATAGAAATTATTAATTTGAGTGTGTGTAAGGCTTGAGAGGATTGGCTGTTGGGCATTATAGCTGTTGGGCATCCATCTTGAGAGGATTGGTTGTTGGGCATTATAGAAATTATTAATTTGAGTGTGTGTAAGATGATTATTAATTTGAGTGTGTGTAAGGCTGATGTTTGTGAAGAATAGAGGCAAGGAGTGCAATCCTGTGATCTTGGGAAAGTGACCCAGGGACATAGGATTTCTTACCGTCCTCCTTGTATAGACACTGCTACAGCATCAGAAAGGGGATTCCAGAATACCTCCATCTGCTTCCTCGTGGATGCTACAGGAAGATATTCTCTGGCTGCTTTCCGAGCTCTCAGAAACAGCTTCAGTGGACCTCAGAGAGGTTCAGATAATTGGGCGGGGGAGAGAAGGGGCCAGGATACCATGTTTCCCTTGCCCTACATCCCTAGCCCTGTTCCTACCTGTGGAACTACTATAAATGGGTTTGGAGGCCTACCTAAGGGAAAATGTACAAACAGGAAGACAGAGCAGTGAACCCCTGTTCAGAAATCAGAACTTGGCTTATATGCTGAAGAGAAACTATTTTTAATTTGAAGAATAAGTGTGAGAATCTAGCATTTTCGTTGTTGAAAGCTCTTTCTAAGCATATAGCCACCTACAGTGAGAGATGGCTTCCAGAGCCTGTCATTGCACTTTGCTTGCCCACCTGCCAAGTTCCGCACTCAATTTATTCTATTATCGAGTCATGTCTGCATTGGGCAAAACTTTGTAGACACAACATCATTAACTATGCTACATATTTTTGCAATGTTTACTCCTCTTCCACACTTTTTTCCAAGGTAGTAAATCATCATTTCTTTAATCTCCCCCTGGCTGTGTGAAAAACAGGAATTTATGTAACCAGCACTCTGCTGCAAACCTTTTCCTGTTTGGAACTTTTGTTGTTGTTGGCAGAATTTGGAGATGGCTTAGCTTCTCCAAGAGTGACCTTGAATGTCCTTAGTACAAGAATACTAGATTGTAACTTTCTGATGACTAAGGAAGTCTGTAGCTTCTGTAAAATACTAAACACTTCCATGTGTGGATGGATGGAAAGTTCTATACAGACATATGTATGCACAAGGTAACACTTGTTTCCATCATAAATACTAAACCTTATGGCTGTGGTAAGGTAGTATATATGATGTTGACAAAACATTTAAAACCAGTATTATGTATGTATTTTTAATCAGTGTCTGTTACAGAAGGGTTTTTATGATTTTTTTAGGGTTGTTTTTTTTCCTTTGGATGAGGATAGAATATTACTGGCCTTTATTTTGAGTAAGCAGCCAGTATCAGAAGTGAGTCTGAGAGCCCACTGTTGTAAGGGAGGAAAGGGTCAGATTTCACTCCACTCCCTAGTGTCTTTCATTTGGCATGAGAAGTAGACCATCCATTCCCCCCACCCACCCAATGGACACACCATTCTTGAAAACCTGTGTGGTGTGGTGATTAGATTTGGGCCAGGGACTCAGGAGATCCGGGTTCTAGCCCCCATTCAGCAATGAAGTTCACTGGGTGAGTTTGGGCTTACTCTCAGCCCAACCTACTTCACAAGGTAGTTGTGAGGTAGGTGATACAGATCCTCATCCTGGTTGAACTGTCACCTATTTGTTTTGCAGTTTGGGCACAAAAGATGAGGCTTTCATCACACCATCATCCAGCCTCATTCATGGGAATTCACAGGAGTCCATCACCTTCCACTCACAGCTCTCTTGTGTTTACTCACTGCTTTTCCCCTCTTTTTTCATACTGTGGAAAATCTGCTCGGTAAGAAAAGACAAACCAGTGCACAATGCCTTCAGATTGTTGGTGCTAGGACTGTCTGGAAGCACCAAGTGTCAAACCAGGGAGGTCTATAGCATGAAGTTCCGTCTGCAGAAGTGGCACCAGTGACTTAAGAGTGCTTTCAGACAAGGCTTTTATTGTGCAATCATATTTCCTCATCCATAGAATTTTATGAAGAGATCAAATAAGGTTATCTTCCATTTGTAGCCCTCTTATCTTTCCTTGCTCTTTCCTCGATCATTTTACATCTCAGGAAAAAAAATAGGTTAAGTCAGATAACAGAGAATAGCCGCATGATACTTATTGATTGGTGGCACTTGGAGCTCTTCATCTGGAAGTATCCTCAGTAGAATTTACAGAGTTAGCAAAATAATTCAACTTGTTTGGAACAAAAAAAAATTCCATGCTTTGAAGTTGTGCAGAACTCTGCTTCAGAGTAAATGTTGTAAAGAATATAATGAAAGGTTTTTTCCCCTGAACGAGGGCTTGTTGTGCTTTTGAGATGGGTATGGAGGAGATTCCAGCTTAATTGTGTTAAGATCATAGACCTGTGCTGCAGCAATGAACCAGTGGAGTTCTCTTGGGAAATAGAAAAATTAGCAGTTAGCTAGGTTTGTTTCTAGCATGGTTTGAAACTCATAGATCTCCTTTAAGGCAGACAATAGAAGTAAAGGAAAAAAATACTTTCCATTATACTAGCAAAACAGAAGATCTAGACACACCATTCCAATTGAATAGCACTTTATCTAAGAAGTAGTTGGCAAATCAAAATGTTTTAATGCTTAGATACACCTGCTGAATGACTATAAATATACATGTCAAAAGATGTAGCCCATGTGAACTAGTGAGAAAGGAAAACTTAATTAGACATCACAACATGGGACTAGTTTACCAGATGCTCTGAGAGACACTGTAGGGCCACAACAGTATACAGGGGTTTGTATAGCCCTTTAGTACACACACAGTGGGCAGCCTCCTGTATTCTGGCTGGGCAGGATTAACTGCTAGCCCACCAGGAAAGTAGCACCTCCTAAAGCAACTGGAAAAACAAATTAATTCATTTCCGGTTGCTTCAAACATCTGCTCCCTCCGTGTCATACTAGTGGTGAGTCCCAGTAGCACGTAGGCAGTGTTGGATACTGCCCTCCTTGAGCCATAATGGGACATGAGGAGCAAATTGATGGAACATGAGCACTTGACAACTTAAGCTGTTTGGAGCACGACACAAGTGTTTCTTTTCACCAGTGCTTTTTTTGTATTAAAAAAAAAAAGTGCCAGAATTCATATCTTGTTAATCTTTTATTTAGGGTTTTTTTAGGGTAATCTTTTATTAGCAGGACCGCTGGTTGAGAAGTAATTAGTAATTTTTTTCATTTTTAAATTTGGGGTCACACTTATACACTAAAAATTAAAGATTTTCAGTTCACCAACTTTTTAAAAAATAATTATTTACCTTTTGCACGTAACCAGTCACTCTACATACACATAAACATAAGGGTCGCCACTGGCAGTAAGCACTCAGCACGCGACCACACGACCAATCCCAAGCCAAGCAGCATCCCAAGCTGAGCAGCGCCCTCACGATCAGCGCGGACACACAAGCAGCCCACATGCACTATTTTAATGATTTTTGCCGCTGACCTATCCCTGACAGGGCGATTCAAAATCAGTTGGAAAAATCCGTCAAAAGTGCCAGAATGCTGTTCCGGTGCGTTCTATGACAAAAAAAAAGCCCTGCTTTTCACTCTGAAAGCACTTACTAGTTTGGGCTCAGGACATCCCTTTTTCTGTGCCTCATGGATCTTGAAGAAAGCGCACCAGCCATATAATTAAGAAAGAACAATGAACTTAGTGTACTGAGAAGCTGAAAACCCAACAAACTAATAATAAAGGAGAGAAACCATGAAGTCTGTACATTTATTATATAACAGAGGGAAAACAGTGCACATTCACAAACAACAGATTATTTGGTATGGCACTGGAGAGCTCTCAATTCAAAGCACATCTCTCATAGCTTTTAGAAGCAGCCAGCAAGTGGGAAATGGGAAGTAACCCTTATACATTTAATTACTCTGTCAGAATAATATTATAGAAGAGTGCAACTGAAAAGCAAGACAACTGCACAGCCATTTATTTGAAGAACTGGGCTAGCAGATTCCCAGTATTCAGATTGTTCTTGTCTAAACTTGAATTTGAGTAGTTCTCAAATTAATAGCATTTTTTAAAAGAGTAGGAATCTCTTCCAACTTAATTCCAGCAGCTCATTGTCTCAATGATATAAAAGTGGGTGAAATATTGCATTGGGAAATGAGATTTCTTTGATAGCAATGATGCATTTGATGGAATGTCTTCTCTGCTTAGGATAAAAAACTAGTTTATGGGAATGGGTGAAATATTGCTTTGGGAAATTAGATTCTTGCTGTAGCTATCATGCATATCTGTAATATAAAGATCTGGGAAAGAGCAGTTCAGTATTTTTCTTACTCCTTGTTTTTTTTTTTTCTTTTCAGAATTCAATCCGTCACAACCTCTCATTGCACAGCAAGTTTATCAGAGTACAAAATGAAGGAACAGGAAAAAGTTCTTGGTGGATGCTCAACCCAGAAGGAGGCAAAAGTGGCAAGTCTCCCAGGAGAAGGGCTGCATCCATGGACAACAGCAGCAAGTTTGCCAAAAGCAGAGGAAGAGCTGCAAAGAAAAAAGCGGCTCTTCAGGCGGGTCAAGATGGAAATGGTGATAGTCCAGGTGCCCAGTTCCCAAAATGGCCTGCAAGCCCCAACTCTCACAGTAATGATGACTTTGATAACAATTGGAGTACCTTTAGACCGAGGGCCAGTTCTAATGCTAGTACAATCCTGTCAGAACAAGATGATCTCGGGGAAGGGGATGTGCACTCCATGGTCTACCCTCCGTCAACCACCAAAATGGCTTCAACTCTGCCCAGCCTTTCTGAGATGAGCAGTTCAGAAAATATGGAAAACCTGTTGGATAACCTAAATCTTTTATCGCCTAACACATCCTTGCCTGGATCAACTCAGTCTCCGCCCACTACCATGATGCAGCAATCTCCCTGTTACTCATATACTCCATCCAACACAAGTATAGGTTCATCAAATGCAGACTACAGGAAATACAGTTATGTCCAGACCAGCATGAGCTCCTTGTCTCAGATACCCATGCAAACTATTCAAGACAGTAAATCGAGCTATGGAAGCATTAGCCAATATAACTGCCATGTAGGACTTCTCAAGGAGCTGCTTACTTCTGATTCACCTCCGCACAATGATATCTTGGCCGCTGTAGATACTCATGTTTCCCAGCCTGGTGGCGGAGGGCTGGGGCAGAATGTATTACTGGCTACTAACTCTGCAATATCTCCATTTGGCAACCAGCAGTCTCATAGCAAAATAATTGCCCCTAGTCCCCACCCACATCAAGGACACGTCCAGCCAGCCTCAGCAGTTAACAGCCATACCTTGTCTCTCACACTTAGCACTTTGTCTCATGCTTCAGGTTTAAATCGTTCGTCCACAGCAAAAACCTCAGTGCAAGTGCCTATGAGCCACCCGGTGCAGATGAGCAACACGAACCCTTACACCACTGTGAACAGCTGCAATGGTTATGGAAGAGTGGGGATTTTCTCTTTGCATCACGAAAAGCTCCCCAGTGACTTAGACGATATGCCTATTGAACGATTGGACTGTGATATGGAGTCAATAATTCATAGTGAGCTCATGGATGGGGAGACATTAGATTTTAACTTTGACAGTGTGTTGCCTAACCAAAGTTTGTCTCATGGTGTTAAGACAACAACACACAGCTGGGTGTCAGGATAAGACTGGAAGGTTAGTTTCCCATGTTTTATTACTTATGTAATCAGTTCCTCCTCTTAAAATCTGTAGCAATTAATTGTGTGGCAGAATAAGATCCAGCAGGTATGGCTTCTTCCAGCATAATGCAACACTAAGGGGAGAAATTGCATTTAGAGGACCTTCTCTATTGAGAAGCTTTTAGACACCAAAGTGCCTGCCAGAGCCAGATCATTAGCAATGTTAAAGGGAAATTGGGCAAAAAGGCAGTGGATACCAAAGATGGCAAGGAAATGCCATTACCTAGTTTGTATTATTAGGGGCAAGTCCTGCAAGGGGAAGTTTGGACTCACACTTTGCCTTATTATATTATTCATATTATTATTGCTGCTGGAAGATGGGATAACATTCTTAAAATAATGGGACATATTTTGAAGTAAAATTAAGAGAAGAAAAATGCTGGCCTGTGGATGGCATTTTAGTAGTAGCTTCAAGAAGAAATATTTAGCCTGCACATATTAACCTGGGAGTAAGTCCCATTAAATTCAGCTGGACTTACTTCTGATCCATGTATGAGACCTTGGCATTATAATATTTTGATAACACAATGATTACCATGACTTGCTGTTCACTCTCTACCTTTTAAAATTAACAAATTAGATGGAATGGTTTGTGTATGCAACTGTTTATATTGCAAATCTTCCGTGTTTGACATCTTGCATCAAAGCTTACCTTTCGAAAATGTTCAGTACATAGGCTGCAATGGTTGAGACTTGTCTATGCCAAAGAAGGCAGATTGTCAAAGGTCATCAAATAGTCATCAGATAACAATGTGTCACATGAGTCACCTTAATTTTTTACCCTTAACATTTCCTGAGAAAGTACAGAAAGTGTAATCTACATGAATGATTCTGAGGTATGAACTGCCTCTTCATTCTCAATGACAGATTGCAAATGTTGTTAGATTCAAGCCATCATGACTATTGTTTCATAAATGTATTTTTTGTATCACAGTATAACATGTGAAATGTCGCTTGGCTTGAAGAGGGGTTTGCTAATTAAAGAATACTCAAATCTGAGATGTGCATGGGCAAAGTTTGCAATCGCTGTGATTGTAGACATTTGGTAAACTAGAAATGGGCTTCTCTGGCTGGTTCCTGGAAAACACAGAAATCTTGCAAATTCAAGATTTGATTTCATTCAATATGGATTTGCCAATATTATTTTTTAGTTGTCTTGCATTGCTAAACATTGATGTGCTTCCTCAAGAGATGAAATATTTCTTTCTTGGCTCTCTTGGGTATTTGGACACCAGTGTATGCAGAACATCTGTCTTGCACTCTTGAATATTGTATTTGCTTTCTATCACAGTATGTTTTCTTTCTGTTATCCTAGGCTACAGTTTAAAGTACTTCAAACATCTCTGACTGCAAGAACTGAGCAAGGGAGTCCAAAGATGTCCTTCAGCCTTTTTGCATTTTCTTCTGTAATGGGGTTTTTCCTCTTGTCAAACTTGGCTGCAGATTTTTCCTGTACATTAAGTTTGCCAGATACTTGCAGGTTATTTGCTGCTGTAGGTAAGGAATGTACCATTAGAAGTGTCTTTATTTGGAAGTGCCAACCTCACCACAGTGTCCTAGAAAAGCGGAAAATATTTGTGCATCATGTTGTGAATTGTCTGTGTGCAGTAAAAGGCATAGAAGTAAAATGGTTTCTTTAGGAATATATTAAGATTCAAGAAAAGGTTAAGATTTTTAATAATGTGGTAGCTTTAAACCTTCATTTTTATCCCCTTTATATTTTGATCTGCTGAACTCATAGAGAACTATGGACAGCTGGATTAACTGCCTTAAACGTATTATAGTTGCTGTACATTTTGTATGAGAACATCATTGAAAACCAAAGTTTTTGGCCATTTAGACTTCCATATCAGAAAGCAGTTTGAAAGCATTGCCATCTTTGTTTTTGATCATATAGTAGATTTACTGTAGGGACCAACTTCTAGGTGGATAAATGGATGGATTGTTTTTATTGATCATGTTAAATTTTATAATAGGCGTATAGCTATTTTTCTTATCTACTTTGTTATACAAGCTCCTTAAATATTTGCAGAATGCAAGATAGCTAACAACATTCATAACATTTTGTATACAGTATTTTAACAAAATTAAGGGGAGAGCATTTATATTAGCACTCTGTAAGATTTCTAAAGAGGCTTTTCAATGTAAATTTTTTGTGTTTTTTTTCCTGGCATGAGGATGATCTGCAGATGTATACATATAGATAACTTTTATTACTATATTGACACTGATGACTCTGAAGTGTTAAGCATTGTTTAATGATATGTACAAACATTGATATTTGTATTTATTCATATGAACATTTCATAAAGTTTGTTAGCCCAGGGACAGGAAATTCTCGGCTTCATGCTATTCTCATTAGTAATCTGCTGTGTTTCCCTTGTTCTGAGGTATAGGGTTTCCAATTTCCTTTTTAAAAATGTCTTCTATTTTAAAAACATCTAGAGAGCTAGAACATATGTTGTGGCATAAGAACATATCTATCAGGAATAAACCTAAATCACAAGCTGTGTAGCTTAATTATATAAATAACAGTAGCGTTAGTCAGTGTTTAGTGACCTAATTCTTACATTTTGAAGAAGAACCTCAGTTTTGTACTCTCTTTGAAATAGCTGATAACAGCAAGCATACAATGTGTAAGCAAACAACTAAGTATAATATTGCAGCTGCAAGCTATAATTTTGATAACTTCTTAGCAAACTATTCATTGGATATCATTCATCTTTACTGCTGTCCCCACCTGCAAAACCCAAGTATAAAATGTAATTGTTAAGTACAAGAATACCTGGACAATGCCATGATTGCTAGAGAAGCTGTGGGATCTTCCTGCTTAGATGTTTAAGAGGGCATTGGTGACATCCACAGGGATGGTTTTAATGGAGGTTAAGTTAGGACAGCCATGCAGGGCCTCATGCCCAGGGACTCCTTCAGTTCATTGTGGCCCACTGGACTCCTGAGACAGCCATGCCCCTTTGCCAGCCAGCCAGCCAGCCATGGAGTGGCTTCTCTGCTTTTGCATGACTTTTCTCCCCATTCTGCAAGCTTGAAGTGCTTCTCCTCTGGCCTATTTTCAGTCAGTCAGAGCTTTAAGTTACTATTTGAACTTTTTGAAAAATGCTGGGCCCTCTCTCTTCTGCCTGTGACCCCAACCACAGGGAATGTGTTCCCTGAGAGCTTATCTGAAAGAGGTTAGGGTGAAAGAGGTTCCCACTTCTGGGCTTGGATGCATTCCTGGGTAGGCAGTCAGAACCAACCTGTTTTTGGCCAGGCAGCTCATGTTTTCTGTCCTGTGCCTCTCTGCCTCCTCCTCTCTCCCAACTTGCTTGGCTTCCCTCACTCCACCACTGAAAATACAAAGTACCTGGGTTGGGGTGGCACTGGGATAAGGAAACTAGAGAAAAGCGGTGTGTGTGGCTTTTGGGGTTAACAAGGTGTGGCTTAATGTTGCTTTGCTCAGTTTTGCTCTTAGTGTACATGCCAGTGTCCAGGTGTAGTTTACGTACTCTTAGAATATCAGTAGTGGCAGAATATAGTAGATACGCAGAGAGAGTTTTGAGGTGGCTGCCATGTAATCCTAGGAACCATTTTTAACTGCTCCCCTGCATTGAAAAAATAGACACAAAAGCTCCCAACAAATAGGAAATTGGTACCATCTGCCCAGCTGTGAAGAAACCCACCCCTCTTTGAACACTGACAACTTCTGTTACCTGGGCCTGGTGCTCAGTAGCATTCTTAAGGGAAAGAGGGCCTAGCATGTAATAAAACAAGTACGATGAAGCAAACATTTCATGACAGTTGACAAAATATGCTTTTACACAGACCTTAATTTTTGTAGTACTTCAGTTTAAAAAATGTAAATAATGGCTGTATGTAGAATGTTTTGTTTTTGGCTCCCCCCACCCCCAGTCTCTGAGAAGCATATTATACAATATCTGTTCCAACTTAGTGTATTGTTTCTACTGTATGTTTATTAATAGTTGCATTAAAGGGACCTCTTCTTTGATAAACTGACAAGTTGCATAAAATGGTAAGCTATTATACTGTGGAATGCTGACAACTCAACATCCCTGAAGAAGAGAAGAAAAGGTTATTAAGGCGGACCAGTTTTTTATCAGTCTTACAATGCAATTCAGGGCATGTTTGCTCGGAAGTAATTCCTACTGTAGTCAGTGGGGCTTACTCCTGAGTAAGTATGTTTTAGGATTGCAGCCTTAAAGTTTGAACTTGTTCAATGGGATTGGATCGGTGTTGCTATTTGATTTTACTTTGAAGATTTTAAGTTGACATTATGGAATTTTCAGGCTTGTTAATTTATAACTAATTTTTAAATAGGGTAACTTTTGTATTTAATTACTAAAAGTAATGCTGTGGTTCATGCAAGCTCTATATATATATATATATATATATATATATATATATATATATATATATCTGCATTAAAACCAGTCCTTTACAATGGACATCTCCCTCTTTTCGTGCCTCCCCTTCTGTCTAAGCAGAACTATTGGCATGCAGATAATTTACATGTTAACTTGTGAATTGTTAGAACACGGTGGTTTTACTGCTGTACACTTCAGACTATCGTTTGCATATTTGTGGAAAAGTGCCTGATGTTTTCCAAACATAAAATAATTGTTTGTATAAAGCCATAAATGTATATACATTGCTTTAATAGTGTTGTCTTTCATATGATTATTTGTATGTTGATAAAGGATTCTGTTTGTTACTATTTGTAATAATTCAAATAATTGTGTAAAGGGCTTTAAAACCTTCTAATTTGTCTATACAGTAATCCTGTGAGGTAGGTTATTTTTTGTATGGTGCCTTGGGCACTTTTTATTGGAAAGGTGACCTAATATATTTTATAAATAAATAGATAATTAGTGTTTCCATTTTATATGTGGGGAGTTGAGACCAAGAATGAGCTATAGAGTAAGTCTATGGCTGAACCAGGATTTCACTCCAGATCTCCTCGTTCTAAATCTGATTTTGCATTCAATGATCCACATGTGGAATTGCTTGGGTTCTTTCGCTAATATTTCTCAATACTCCTCTGTGTGTGAGAGAGAGGGAGAGGGAGGGAAAGACAGAGACAGAGCACACGAGCAAGCGAGCTGTTATGGTATATCCTTACTGGGAATTTGGATGTATGTTGCATTTTGCTGTTATTCAAAAAGCTCCACCAGGCAAGTCACCAAAAATCATTACTGGATTTGGAAAACTGAAATAATTAAAGAAACATAGAAACAGACCGAGTCAGAAAGGGCCTCCCGGGCCATCTTGTCTGACTCTTGGCTCCAGCCGGCTCTGCTCTTGATGTGCCTACCGTGTGCATGTCTAGCCTATTCTTGAACATCCTCACTGATGGTGCTTCAACCATCTCCCGTGGAAGCCCATTCCATACTCTAGGGATCCTAACTGTCAGGAAGTACTGCCTGGCATCCAAATTGAACCTTGGCTCTCTGAGCTTTGCTCCATTGGAACATGTCCTGCCCTCCTCTGCAGGGGAAAACAGGTCTCTACCCACCTCTCTGTGACACCCCCTCATGTATCTATATGTCACCAATAGACCCCCCTCAGAGTTTCTTCCAGGCTGAAAAGACCCAATTCCCTCAGTCTAACTTCATATGGCTTTCCCTACAATCCAGCCACCATCCCTGTGCACTGACTCTAACCTGGCTATATCCTTTCTGTAATGAGGGGCCCAAAACTGAGCACAATACTCCAGTTGTGGGCGCACCAGAGTCGTATAGAGTGGTAGTAATGCCCTTCTCGATCTAGAGGGCACACTTCTGGCTATGCAACCAAGGGTGGCATTTGCCCTCTTGACCACCACATCACACTGCTGACTCATGTTTAGCCTGCAGTCAACCAGCACCCTGGGATCCCTTTCACAAGTGCTGCTTCAGCCACTTGTCCCCTAGCCCATATTTATGTCACCCATTCCTTTGCCCCAAGTGCAAGATCCTTAGCCGCATTGAATGTCATCCTGTTGTCCCCTGCCCACTTCCATAGTCTGTCCAGATCCTTCTGGACCCAGAGCACCTGCACCTCAGTTGCGGCCACTGCCCCCATTTTAGTATCATCTGTGAATTTGATCAGCAGAGTGGTCACCCGCTCTTTCAGGTCATTGATTAAAAGATTGAACAGGATTGGTATAGAAGCACCACGGATTCCCAGTAACCAGCGATGTGACTTTGAAAATGTGCAGCTTGAACCTACTTGGGCTGCTCATGCCACAGCTTCACAGCAACAATGGAAATCATCCTCCACTCTCCAGCTAGGGGCTGCCTCCCTTATTGATCAGGTTCAGAAGAAAACTGCCCGTGAAGTGCATGTTCCAGCCTGCAGGTCAAAAACCAGCACCTTGGTGTGGGTCTGAAAGAGCCACTGCAGCTGCTGATGTAGCACTTTCCTATTTCTACTTCTCATCTTGAGGCATTCTGTGCTGGTTGAAGCTGCCAGACAGTCTCCAAGTGTAGCCCTATGTAGTGTGTATCCCAGCAGTCAAGCTTGGATGTTACATGGTGTGCCTGATGAAGATGAGAGGGAGGGAGCTCCATGGGCACAGCAGCTGTGGTTGATTAAACAGCCTTATTGTAAATGCTTGCTGCTAACAGAGTACAGAGTCGTTTCTGCTTTATCAGACAAGGCAAAGAGTGGTTGGCTTCTAGGGTTGCACAATTGACAATACACTTACTATGTTCAGAGATTTAATCTTCAATACCTCTGGGGTTTGTAAAGCCAAAACATGTCCAATGAAAATTGACAGTGCAGTGAAGGGTTGTTCTTTCACATAGGCGACTGAAAGATTTGTCTCAAGAACAAGTGTGTCCTTGATAGCATATTCCACACTTGAGCTTGCAAAAAATCAGAAAACAGTGCTGCTGGCTTCCTTTAGTGCCCCCTTTATTTTCAGAGAGTGACAAATTTGTCAAGTGCTTAGTTACATTCTTGTAAGAGAATACCTATCTCATAAATCAAAAGCCATTGCAGTCAATTGTAGGGAATAAAATGTTGTGCTATTCTATTGTGTGTGTTGCGGGAGAATCTGAGCCAAGTATCTTAATACTGACCAACTCTCCTATTTACTTAGAGCAATTAAAAAACTAGGAAGATACAATGTAATAAGATAATTTTAGGCCTGCTGATATGCAAGCTGGGAGTTTTATAATTAGCAGTAGCTAAACATTTCAGCAAGCATCCTGCAAGCCTACTGAGTTGTATGCAATTAGTATTGAATAAAATAGCATGAGGCCGAGATACATCTTATTTGTAGACAATCCACAAATGCTCAGGGTGGTGGAGAATACGTCTTCATACACTGCATTTTGAGGTCGCGTGTTCTAACTCCATTTTACAATACATACACACAGAGAAATGGATGTTCAAGACTGAATTAAGACACCCCTGCAGTAGAGCTGACTAGCACCCTCCTGGGAAGGAGCTGGCTGCTTAATTCAAACCATGTGCTTCAGTGCTCTGGTGCTGGTCCACGCAGCAGAGATGGATGTTTGTGCAACCAGGGAGGCTGCTGGGGCTGCTGTGGGGTAGGGGCTGGGGGAGAGCAGGGCTCTGCAGCCTGGGCCTGCCCCCAAACTGTCAAAGGCAGATGCCAGGGGTGGTGACAGGAAACATAGGCGGAGGCATTAGCCAGTGAGGGCAGCAGCTTGCCAGGCTGGGTGCCTGTTGCTGCACAACATCCCTTTTTTGAAGTAGACTGGTTAGTGAGGCTCCAGCCATACCTGCACCTCCTTTTCCTCTAGACGTTGAGGGAAAGGGAAATGGGAGGCCACGGATGGAGCCTTGGCTGCAGCACCTGCTGGACTCAGAGCTAGGAAGAAAAAGAAACTGAAATGGTGCACTTTGCCTGGGAAAGTGGGGGGGGGGGGGGGAATGGGGTGCCTGGTGAGGAGCAGGCAGTGGTGTATGGGGAAAGAGGATCACAGCTGTGGAATACCAGGGCTGTGGGCACTGGGGCTCACTCAAGGCTTGTATGCACCTAGGCCTGGCAAATCTTTGTTGCTCCCTTTCCTGCAACTTTATTCCTGCAAACAGCATCTTTGGAGGCTAGTGGCCTGGGAGGAGGCCTAGGAATGGGCTGCAGAGACCCAATCCAAATCTTTTCTCCCTCAGAAGGGAGCTCTGCTATCTCGTTCTACCCCACAAATGAGTGTTTCTGCTCATTTCCAGGGTCTGTGTTAAGAAATGTACTAGTGATTCTTGCTGGTGCAAGAGACCTGGTAGAAGTGCAGAAAGGAGCAAGATCTCCAGGGATGTCAATATTCAGACATAGCAAAGTATATGGGATTACTTTCAGCCACAAAGAGGGGCCTCTGTGGCAGGATCAGAACGGAAGGAAGCTTCTGCACCAGATTTTTATGGTGTCATAACCCTGACTCATTCGTGGGGAGGGGGGCCATCCAGACAATGTTATCTTCTACGTGGGACTTTCCTGTACCTTCCTGCCTCTTCTTCCAGCTTAACAATGCCTAACAGCATGAGGAGGCCTCTGTTGGAAAGCACCCAAAATTGCTCCAGGAAGTATGACTTGACATACATGCAAATAAGCAACTAACACATCCATTCTGTCCTCCCCCACTCCATAATTTGTCTTTGTGGTATATTTCTATATTTAAAAGAAGGCTTGTCAGTTTTGGAAACCTGATCCTATCAACTATCCAACTTCGGATGTTTTAAAAATAAATTGTCTTCTTCAACATTGTCCTTCATTTGTTTGCCTTGTAAACCAGATTTTTATTCCTAAGGAAACATCCTATCTCATTTTCATTCCTAAACTAAAAAAGTAGAGTTATTTTGTTTAAAATATTGCTTAATTCAAAGCACTCTAGCTTGGTTTATAAAAGTGTAAATTAAGCACTTTACACAACCATATAAATACACTGTAGTAACAAACATATCAGAATACAAAAGCAAGCAGAGTAAAACTAAACTAATGTATACAAAACAAGTTGGGTGGTATATTCATATTTTATCAGCTTTTCCATGCTTAATTCCTTCCTGGAGCAAAATCTAGCAAGGCTGATTAGGGATTGTATTGATAGGCACAAATCCCACCACTGTTTTCCAGAATAATTCAGAAAAGTTCTGCACAGTAAACAATTAAGTCCAATCTGTATTCCTACTTTAAAGAATGCTGGTGTGAGTGGGAGAGAAAGTTTTTGAAACAGTGCTGAGCATTGACTTGAAGATGGGTTCATGCTCTACTCTCAGCTGAAATTTCATGAAGTTGCTTTGATGTTAGACTGGGAACTTCCATCTTGCCAGGTAACCACCATCATGTCTGCAAGGTAAGGAGGGAATGCCATCTTCTATCCTTTGGCCAGGAACTGCAATAATACTGGAACTCTATGTGTTCTCTTTTCCATAGCACACAAATCGCAAAAGAGTGGATTTAGTACTCTATCTCCTCTTCACACAGTACCTATACTAAAATAAAATGTGAATGTGATTCAAGTGCTTGAAAAGTGCATTGAGAGAACTGGTAATGGTATGTAATGTCCTTTGATTCCCTTTGATACTTGTCATGGGGGCAACTCCTAGACTAATATTGATGGGGCTCAGAATCAGTGACTCCATAAAAACTCCAAGGATGCTTAATAATCACATTTCTTAATATGGCTGCCATTACTTAGATTTTATTTCCAATGGTATATCCTTTGGTTCCACTTTTAGGTGGTTTGGTTTTGATAATGGTGAGGATACCCACCTTTTTTCCTACAAGTAACCTAAGAAGGATTAGATAATGCTTCTGCTCGTCTCCATTTTAGCCTCACTATATTATCCTCACAACAACCCTGTGAGGTAGGGTGGGAGTCAATTGTAAGGAATGAAATCCAAGCAATGATGATACGGGAGGCAAAGTAC